AATCAAGAGATCGCTTTATTCACTTGATAAGGCAGATTTTAACAAACTGTGAAACTGTAAAAATTCTGATTGCTTCGAGGGAGTCATCCGAGTTTACAACGTTACAGCCGCTAGGGATAGAGATAGTGAAAGTAGCATCAAATTTAGATCACGAATCTTCTGAGAAACTAGTTCGGAAATGGTTTCCTAAAGCCTGTGATGAAAACTGTAGGAAAATCGCAAATTTTTGTGGACATATGCCTTTTGCCATTCGGTTATTTTGCAACAATATGCCCCAAAAGGAAAAGTTGCCTTTAAACCAAGCAATAGACAACTTCATCCGTTTGATTAAAAGTGATCTTTCTCGGATGGATGATCAAGAGGAATTAAAACATGACAGACTGAATTACATCTTGGAATCATCATACCAGACACTGTCACGGCAAAACCAAGAACACTACTTATCCTTGTCCGTGATTCCTGGCACTTTTTCTGTGGACGTTGCTGCAGCTGTGTGGAAAATATCAGTGGATGATGCTGAACGGACCCTGAGGAGTTTTCAGCGAAAGTCACTTATAGAATCGTACTTGGAAACAGGATCATACAAAATTCCCACAATTCTTCACCTATTTGCGAAGCAAAGGGGAGAACAGCAAATGAAGGAAGTTCTTTTCAAGTCGAAAGCCCGATTACGGCATTTCTATATCTCGCTTTTCATTACCCTCAATGAACGCTTTCTTTCAGGACAGTCCAAGTCCGCTTTCATGGATTTTTATCAAGACAAACAGAATATCATCTCAAGTCTAATTGACGGTTGCTCAGACGGCTCAACACGCGACAATGTTTTTAAGGCCTTGATTCAGGGAATGTTGTTTTTAGACACGGTTTTGTGGAGCGATCGAGCTTCCTTTGACAAAATCTATGATACCGCGTTAACTGAGGCAACACAGCATGATAATATGACCAACTACAATCACTTGTTGCTTGCGAAGGGATTCAGTGAAGTAGCTTGGCGATCAGAAGAAGGAGAAACATTGCAGCTGCTTTCTTCTAAAGCAAACGAAGTTCTGGCCAGCAGTTCAGATGAACAGAAAGGAAAATTATTTTTCTGTCTTGGAATCCACAAGCTCTCAAATGGACATATCAGGGATGGTGTTGAAAATCTCAAAGAGTCTCTCGCGCATTTAAAGGATACAACTGATCCCACTCTGAAAATCTTAAAGATCACGATGTTTCAGATTGTTGCCATACATTATGAATCAACAGCCAATGAAACTGAGGCTACCAATTTTTTCAAAAATGCAAGAGACGAGTGTAAAGCTTGTAAGAACTATCACCTTTTCCTTAGCGCGAAAGAGAAAATTAACACTGATGAACAAAATCTGCCGCTGGTGTTGGAGGTACATTTCCTTATTACCAAGGCAACCAAGCTTTTCTCGTCAGCTGAAAGAGTGAAATCCTTTGAAGAGAATGTTCTCCAGATGAAAGAAAATACTGATCCAAACCTCCTCTCATATACTAAAGGTGGTTCATTTTATCTCCATCGGTTTATCGCTGGTGTACTTGCGGAGATGACCAGATACGAAGAAGCAATCCAATTAATTCAGAATTTAATCAATGCTCAGGAAAGGGTTTTAGTCAACGATGTAAATCCAGAGGACCTAGCCGAGAGTAGCAACGATGACCACAAGAAAGCATTGGCGAGAAGCTACTCGTACCTCGCTGTTCTTCAATCACGAATCAAAGATTACAAGGCAAGCGTTGAGTCAGCGAGGCGCGCTCTGGACTATACAATAGACCTATGTGGCGAGCATCATTCAGACACAGCCGACGGTTATCATGAACTAGCCAACATCATGAGGTCCCTAGAAGATTGTAATTCAGCTTTACTCTTTCACCAGCGTGCACTTGACATTCGGTTAAATCTTCCTGAAGAAAACCCCTTAAAAGTGGCTGCTAGCTATCATGAATTAGGGGTAACACAATGGGAAATGAAAGACTATTCCTCAGCGTTGCAGTCTCATGAGAAGGCACTTCAAATCAGATTAGAGAATTTGGGTGATAAGCACAGAGACACTGCGAAGAGTTTTCATGAGTTAGGAGTTACACAGTGGTTTTTGGAGAAATACGAGTGTGCACTTGACTCACACGAGAAATCACTATCAATCGTACAAGATGAGATAGGAGAAAATTCAAGTGCAACGGCAGACAGCCTCCATGAAATAGGAAAGACATACTTCTGTCTGGGAGACTACCATGCGGCTCTACAATCTCATCTGGATGCATTTAGTACCAGATTAGATGTTCTAGGTGAGCATCACACTGACACTGCCAACAGTTGCTATGAAATTGGTGTAACGCAGTTTGAAATGGGATGGTATCACTCCGCTCTTGAGTATCACATGCGAGCACTGAAAATAAGACACGTACTGTATACAGACACGCCGCATGCAGAGATCGCTCAAAGCTACTACCAATTAGGACGCACGCAATATCAGATGGGAAACTTTGACCAAGCTGTTAAGTCTCTCAACTGTGCACTCTCCGTTAGAAGAGATCTACAGCAAGAACAACACATTGAGACAGGTTACATCTTTTATGAGCTGGGAAGAGTCTTTCATCGCAAAAATGACCACACGTCAGCTTTTGTAATGCACCAGTTTGCTCTTGGTATCCGAAAGTTTAAAGTGGATAAAGAAGACGTAACAATTGGCGACAGTCTGTTTCAGCTCAGTTTGGTACAGAGCAAACGTTGGAGATTTAACTTGTCTTGTCAGTTGCTTAAACGAGCTCAAGACATCTGGTTGAAATGCTTTAACACCAAGCATAAATGCACTGACAGTTACGTTGAGACAGGCAGCTTTCTGATAAAAGATGGGCAATCAGTGTCTGTTTTTAGTTCACTTGAGCATGCCATTCAAATAAGGACGGAGATGACTGCAAGAGAAGAAAAAGAGGAAGCGGACCTTCCCTACGAGAGGCAATTAAAGGATTTACTATCGCAAGATTACAAATCATCTCTTCAGCTGTACAATCGTGTATCAACGATTATTCTTGATTATCCTTTATATGTGCGAAAACACAAAAATTCATTAAGGAAACTTCTTTGCAGATTAAAAGAACAACTTCTAAAGGAAGCAAGTCGTTACTATGACAATGGAAACAAAGCAATCGATGCAGGTGACCTGGTTATCGCACTACATTTGCATGAGCGAGCTCTTGATTTAAGAACGACGCTGCTCAGTGAAAGGCATGAAGATACAGCCACCAGCTACGTTTCAGTGGGAAAAGTACAATATGAAATGATGGACTACACTAAAGCTCTTCAGTCACATCAGCGAGCACTTGAAATAAGACGTGAATGACTTGGTGATAACCACCCAAAGACAACTAAAAGCTATAGTGACATTGGCAACATACAATACCGATTGAGAGATTACCCTTCAACCCTTTATTCAAACCAGAGCGCACTTAAAATTTAAAAGACGTGAAGCACTTCGTCTTGGAGCTGACCACCCAAACACAGCTGACAGCTACATAATAATATTGGACGCGCCCAAAAATCATCACGAAACTCCATTTTAGCCTTTCAGTCGCTTCAGCGAGCACTCAGAATAAGAGTTGAAAACTAGGGGATAACCACCCAATCACTGCTCGCAGCTATAAAAACAGTGGAAAAACCGCCCAGATAGAATTAGAAAACTGTACTTCAGCCCTTAATTCACTCCAGCGAGGTCTTGATAGCCTGCGTGATTAGCGTGTGGGAATAACCAGCCAAAGACACATGACATCTAAAATGGCCTTGTTGTCATATAAGGAGAACTAAAAGATCCTACTTCAGCACTGTAATCACATCAAAAGGCACTTGCAATATTACGACAAACACTGGGGAATAACCACCCCAAAATATCTGACATTTATCATAACATGAACATTGGACTCACACAGAACAGCAGGACGACAGTAGAAGACTATAGATCATCCCTTCAGTAACACCGGCGAGCTCTTGAAAAAACACGGGGAACACCAGGGAATGACCATCCACACACAGCTGACAGTTATAATAACACGACTGATCACTTAACTAAAATTGGAGGGGTATACTTCAGCTTCAGCCAAGCGAGTATTACGCATAACAACCAGCTATAATAATATTGTTACTGCATCAGAACCATCGAGAAAATATTCTTCAGCCCTATAGTTGCACTAGTGAGCACTCAATGCAACACCGTCCTGAAACACTAAGGCATAAAACCCAGAAACAGCCGACAGCTTTAATAACATCGACCTCAAAGGGGAGAGTTGAAAGACTATACTTCAGTTCTTTTTCAAATTACACGAGCTTGCACTTGACATAAGGCATGAAAAGCTTTGGGGGTGTACAGTACCCAAGGCACACACTGGCAGCTGACAGCTTTGATTTTGTGAGATGAACGAAACATTTAAAACAGATCAGCAACGCAGAACATCTGTGCGTTGCATAGACTTGTATTTGAAAGGCTTCAAGTCTTTGGTGAGAAACATTCTGCGGCATCCTGGAGCTTTCAAATTGAGCGCACGCCATAAACAGCATTGGAATCTTGAAATGGACTAGGTTGCAGAAACAGCGTCATTAGGGACTTTAAGATCCAACGACGCCACGACGACGAGAACGTTGCTTAAAAAGTGAATTTGCGTTCTTTCAGTTTTTATCGCAATTATTCCTACCCACTTTCTTTATCAAAGGTAGGCGAACCCTCCTGGAGTTGAATTCCTAGGGACATCCAAGTTCAGAAAGTGAAATTAAATTTCGTCGTTGCTTGTTTACGTTCTCCATAAAACGCGAAATTAGGCATTTTCACGTCGTAGTCGTGCAAAAACAGGAAAAGAAATGTACAAAAAAGTGTGATGTACTTGCAAAGTTGTTGTTTGGTTAAAATACCTATTGTCTTTTTTTTTTTTGACGTTCTCGTTGCCGTCTACAACATACCTTTTAATCGTAACTTTTAATCTTATGTCCAATTCTGCACGTCAGCATTTCGTACCTTGCTCACCATTATTACACTGGTATCCAGAAAGTAAATTTCACTTCAGTTAATAGTTAACGTTTTTTTCATATTCGGTTAGCAAAGCTGCTACATGTTATTGGTCCACCAGGTCATGAAACAAAATTGCAGGTTAAGGTAGTTCGCTGCTTCGATTCTTAATCATTATCTTTTCAGAGCTTAAGTTGTAAGCTTTATAGAAAGTGTTATAATGTAAAAAAAAAACAATTGTTTCTTGCAATTTTCTCAAATATGGATTTTTGCGTCGCTGAAGGTTAAATGGTTTCTTTGTGTTGTTTTTGTTTATTTTTTTTGCCGTTCTCGTTGCCGTCGCAATTTGGCACTACACAATTTTATTTTTTGCTTAAGTAAAGTTAATGTATATTAACGAGAGCTTCGCTTTCAGCCCTGGCTAAATCTATTTAGTAGATACTAAAACAGTGGATAGTGTTTTTCGCGCGCTCTGATTGGCTACTCAAGCAGTGAATATCCTGCACTATTCACTGATTCACCTCCAGTTCCTCCGAGCGAGCGACGCCAAACTCGCGTAAGTTGCAAAATGCCTTCCCGTTTTGCTGCCGTAACAAACAAAGAAATTTCACAACTAATCAAGCAAGCTGTTTCCGAAATACACGAAGAAAGTGGCGAAGCTCGGGCATAGGCGTACGGGAAATTTTTTGCCAGGAGGGGCGGTAAACCATTTGCCCAAAAAAATCTCCTAAGTTGCCCAAATTTTTACGAAAGAGTCGAAAAGAAATGAGGGCCATATTGCAACAACATAGGCCGTCCTGGCATATGAAGGTGGCTCGATACAGGTTTTCAGGATCAATACCAAGTCTGAGCATAAACTACGTCGCCATAAGCAAACATTTGGAATAACTGCGACCACAGTGGTATTAAGATGAAAATTTGGCATTATCAGGGTTGCAGTGACATCGGAGTTGTCGTAGCAACGAAATGACTCCATTACCTATTTTTTCTCGGTACGGGAACCTTACAAAATCGTTCACAGGAGCTTTTTTCTCCAATACGGTCGCCTCGATGTTCGTGAAGTTTAAGCAAAACCTTAAGAGCGTCATCGAGATATTTTGCAATGATTTTTTATTATTAGAAATACGGTAAGGAAAAGAAAATCTTGATTTTTGGCCATTATCTGTAGAAAATGAAGTGCTTTTGTCCTGCAATTTCACCTCATAGTAGCTTTAATCGTTTTAAAAACGTGTGTGAAAGATCGTGGAGGTAGCTCTGCTTGATTGCTAGAATCGAAAGAAGGATTTGATTAGTATGTATCGAGACACTCTTGTTAGCGGTTTTGTAAACATTTCGGTCTACTTTAACAAATCAGCGGATAATTTTAAACCGCTCGATAGATTTTTTAAAAGAATTAAGATTCTTCTCGTAATTCAAACTGAGAATTAGTCAGCCACTTCTTCATGTTCATACAGTTTTCAGTCGAAATCGCGCGGAAACGCTTGCTATGCAGGCAAGGCAGGCAATACCCATTGTTAAATGCTATCTGCCATACACTGTTCTTCGAGTGGAGATGATTCTAGAAAGTTATGCGAAAGTTTATTTTAATCAATTCTCGACTGGAAATAGCCCATTCCAGCTAGTGCAGTGCAGTATAGTGCCCATAAAAAAAAACTGCAAATGTGTAAATTACTCATCCTATGCTAAGCAACCACTGTAATGTAACTGGATTATTACGCCTACTTCAGGTTAATATTCAGCTCTTTAAAATAATTAAATGAACATGGAGACTTCCTTTAAAAACTGGCTTTGCCCAAATTTCCTCTCGCTGCCCAAAAAATCTGAGTTGCCCAAACTTTGGGGGGGCTGCAGCCCCCCTCGCCCCCCCCCCCCGGTCCGTACGCCTATGAGCTCGGGGTGGAAGTTTTCACAGGTAAAGCTTTGTCTTTTTGACTTGAATTTATCGATAAAACCGACGAAAAGGTTTTGTTGTTTACAAATGCAAATTAAGTTTAAGTCTTGCGTTACTTTTTTTAGTTGACTTGTTCATAAATCAGCTTAAAACTAAATCTAATAATCCTTTTTACAGAATGATTTTAAATACAAAAAGAATTCACAACTCCTTTTGAGGAAATTTCCCCGCAAGAGCTAAACAAATGCCTTCAAAAGTTTTATTTGCCGGCAAGAAAAAGCGACGACAGCGGCCGTTCGGTCATGTGCGCCAAAATTGTAATCTTTGCAGGCAACAGTAAATGAGTTAAAAATCATCATTTTTGGGCTCAATTATCTCACTGTTTTAGTATATACTAAAACAATTATTCACCTCAGTGTCGGTGGCTAGTGATGGAAATTCACCTCGCCGCTAACGCGGCTTCGGTAAATATCCATCAATAGCCACCTCCACTTCGGTGAATAATTGTTATATATTAGTCGTATGGTCAGCTCTGTCGTTTTCGTAAACACGTATCCTTTTACATAAGATTACATCGCAACTCTCGGAAGAATGTAATTAAATGTGTTTAACATTTCATTATATAGCTTAGGTTAAAAATTGCAATATTTAGTCTCTCTTTTACCATAGGTAGCCCACATGGTAGCCCAAGTGATTAGTAGTGTTTGTATATGGTGTGTTGGTTACGCGACAGTCAAAAGAACCTACGACCGCGGGTTATAAGCGAGTATCAAAGAAATATTACCGTAGGTTACTTCGCCTTACTTTCAAGGAGTTTTGCTTCCTGTGTGGTTTTCAGGTTGAGGTTTGACCATTGCATTTGGTTCACCAGGGGTGTGGCCAACTTTTCGACTAGTTGTAGGCCTGGCTGACTTTCATTTTCCACATATCCAGAAAATTGTACGCATGACTAGTACGCACTGACTTCACCAAGTCTTTGAGCTCTAACAACGCATAATAATTTATTACTAGCGGTAGAGTTATCAAACCAAAAATTTGCAGGCCCGGGCCTACAGCTCTATGGGCTAGCTACGCCCCTGTTAAACAGAACATTTTTCGAAACTTTAAAAGTGCGTTTCAAGCATGAAATTTCTTTTTCAAAGCAATAGCAAAGTAAAACCCCGTACAAGGATAACTGAATTTAAATAAAGGAAGTAAAGTAATACGGATTAGAATTGTTACTAATTGTAAGCTAGTAATTTTAAGTATCTGAAAGTCAAACGTTTCCATTTTTATTTGTATTCATAGATCTACTACACCAAGAAATAATATTAGCTACCCGGTTGGGGGAAAAAATATATTATAAAACACTCTCACCATTGTACGTTTTGTTATACAGTCCTGGCTACGGACCTGTTCAAGTGTTGAATAGCACTATCTAGTAGATAAGTGATTACAAAAACCATTTGCGTTATCCACTGGTCAAAGATTGATCCAGTAGATAGCGTTATCTCTCCAGTCTCCAGCTTTTGAACAACCGGGGCCTACTCCCTGTTGACGCTTATAAGCTTAAGCGCATCCGCTTACAACTTGAGGAGAGATAAGACTCAACTATCAGCAATTATTACCATGTTTAGATCAAAATCAAAAGGATCAAAATGCGAATGAACGAAGACTATAGGACCCCCTATAAACAAGATAAAAAACGAAGGTGTGAAACATAACATTAAAGTGAGGAGATAACTAAGTGAAAAGTTTTTTCGGAATGGAGTCTGGAAACCTACTGATGCAAGAAAACGGTGGCAGTCACGGGGCCTTATGTACATACGTCCGCCCCAACATGTAAGCCGGGGTTAAAATTTCGCATTCAAGTACCCCCGTTTGAGTAAATTACAAGGATATTAATTAGAGCTTCGCTTTTAGCCCTGGCTAAGTCTATATATTATGTTTCACTAATTGATCGCTTCTCGTCCTTGTAACAAGGCAGCTAAAAGAAGCGAGAAGCGATACTGATAATATGTCCACCATAAAGTTATAATCGTGCCCTTTGTCCGCAACTTGTGGTATTCAGAATACTGTCGACGCGCTCAAAATATGCCACTGTGCCAAGCAATATGACTAAAGTCTTCGTTTCCTACAATACAGCACATAGAGTAGAAAATGGAGACCCTCAAAAATTCGGTTTCAAATCATTTCATAAAAATCGCTCGAAACGGCAACAGTTATCGAGGAATTTCATACAAATCCCTGTACTTCAACTGATGCGTAATCAGTGTTCCTGCCGACGGCCATATTCCGATTTCCCCAAGTGGCTTATAGTGTTGGGGGTAGTCCCTAGCTCTCTGTCTGATCGCACTCTATTGCATTCTCATCCCCCAATCCTAGTTCTCCATGCGATCACCCTCTCAAGTTCTACCACAGGTAGCCCAAGCTTGAATGTGCGTATCTTTACTGAAACAAATCTGAAATTGCAGAGGATACACGCACAATTTATTTTTATTTTCAAATATCTAGATCGAATCTAGAGCCGTTATTACACTCTTCATCCTGCTCTAGCCCTATAGAGGGCTAGTTCTACTTGTAACCTTGCATTTTTAGTTGTCTGTATTGTACTGAATACGCGTTCTCAGGAAGAGATAATGGAGCCCCAAAGCTTTCAGATTAAGGCATCATACCACCATACTTATCATTTATTCATTTTCTCACAGTATCAGAGATTTTGATTCTGATCTGCTGTATTACAACTGCTGTTGCAAAGCTTATTTGAGAACTACCATTTCAATCTCGATAGGTCCATCGGTTTCGGTCATTAAGGCTCCTGGTTTGACTGATGTAAGTTTGATTTTGAGCTGCGAGTTACTATAGTCCGGTGGGGTATTATCATCCAAATCTTCCTCGTCACTTATAAACCCCGAGGATTCCGGTCCCCTACTTCCCCGGCTATTGACGCTAAAGATCTTCTCCATGCTGCTCTGAAACCGCTTCAGTTTTCTCTCGGAGTCTCGTGACCTGCCCAGGCGAGCAAAAAACCGTCTCAGCCCTCGTCGAATCCTTGAAGAGAGACTACGAATCCTGCGGTGACGTAAACAAGGTTATTAGTCTGGACTTTCTAACAAAAGTGTTAGAGTAGGGAGACCTAGGAAAACAAGCAGCGAACAAACAAGTTCCTCAACATATTTTTGCCGTAGACTTTCATCTTTTCTCAGTGACCCTTTCGTTATTAATGTGCCAGAAGTTAGTAGAATATGGGTAGAATGGGACATACACTACCTAACCGTGACGTGTAGAGCCACATATATATTCCACACCCCCACCCCCCACCTCCACGTTATAAAGGGATAGAGTAACGCATGCCGTCTTTTAATTTGCTAATTAAAATACCGTATTTACTAGAAAGAGCTTCCTTTTCGAAAAAGCACTACACACTCCTGGCAACAATGTAATAGAACAACTTCTTGAAGTAACTTTCGAAACCTTGCAGAAACGTTTTTTATATTATTATTCTTTTTTTCTGTCCTTATTTTTTAAACTAATAATAAACAACAACAAGAAAAAATTGAGTCAGTTATTGGCGAAGTTTTAGGTAAGTGTCGCCCTCAGCAAAGGTAGTATTGTGAAGTCGAATTTTTGCGCTGCAGCGCGTTTTCGACTAAATACGGTAGTTCTCTTGCAAAGTTTTTTGCCAACGTCTTTCTATAACAGACAAACCAACGGAAAAATTCATTTTAGCAAGACTAAGCGCATTTTTTATGGTTATGGTATGGTCATATAATGCCATACATCGCGTCAGATTGAGTCAGTTAGCGTGAAACAAAACTCAGTTTTATGTCCGTCCATAAAATGATCACAGTATTTTACAACAAATAGAGGGAAACTTGATCACGGGGTACATTAATTCTCGCCTGTTCCAGTCTCTAATATAGTGGAGATGACGCGCTAGTAAAAGGCCCGCGAGAATATGAGCGCGTGATTTGGGTTTTATTTTCGTACTCGCCCTTTCTCAATTTCGTGGACCCGACTATCTCGGAGCATGGAACAGGCTGTTAGGTACATTTTGACGTACACCATTTGAAGTGAACGTGATTCAAAATGTTTCTCTACTTATCTCCGCAGAAAGTCTTTCTTTTTCTTTCCTTTATTTTTAGCCTGTTCCAGGCGTTCAGAGATCTTCAGATCATGGGGACGGTCGGCGCAAAGAGATGTAATGACCTTTTGAAAACGAATCTCACAGGCGTTCCTTTCTCCTCCTTCTCCGGCGCTTTCCATTTAGACAAAATTTCCGGAATTTCCGGTCCGGCGGTAAATGGAACACGTTTCGTGAGCTCGTCCCACTGAAAAATTCCCAGAAAAAGTGGAGAATCTAAAAAGGTGGGCCCGTTTTCCCGGTTAGATTTTCCGAACGGAATTTCGTGTTCCATTTACACGTTTCTCGTAGTTTGTACCAGTCCCAGGTCCACGGCAAGAAAATCTGTCGGGCACCGCGACGTACCGGGGTTTACGACCAAATAGAACAACTTTTTACCAATCGGAAATTCCACTTTTGCTCCCACCCAAATTTCCAGTTTTTTTCTCAAATGAAAAGCGCTCCCTGTCTCCTTATTGTTTCCCGCTGCTCCCTAACTTCTCGCCGCACTCTACTATCTCAAAGACCGGAACAGGCTAATTTTTAGAGCGGGTAAATCCTATTTTATCCTACTTAACTGTTTTCCTATACTGCGCAGATTCCGCTGCAATCTTGGAAGAACAATGTCCATCTTGACAAGAACAGCTGATTCTCAACTAAAATAAACATTAAAACCGGTCCAAAGCTAAAATTCTAGTCAATGAATTATTTCCAAACTCCAGTAAACATTCTTTAAAAGTGAGAAGACTTACCTTGCAAATGGCTTTTTCTTTAACTGTGGTTTTTACTGAAAAAGTCATACTTGACCTTTACAAAGGTCCACTGAAGTAAGATGTCATTTCTCTGCGTAGTATGGACAGTTTAGAACGAACAAATTGAAATGACGTCACAATAGCAATGTCACGCGAAGCTACAGGTCATGCCACGAAGGAATGCTAGGATTGGCGTAGCAAATTTCGTCGCCAGAGCCTTTGTTACTCTTTTCCAGCGAAACAAGCATCCCTGTTGCTGATCGGAGGATCGCAACCTCGGGGAACGAGAATGGGGTGTGTTTGCGCACTTGTAAAACTTTAACTAAAAATATATAGAAAAATCTCCCCATGTGAGGGAATCCGGGAAATTTTTGCTTGTGAAATCCGGAATCACAACTGGGCCTTGGAATCTGGAATACAGCTGTAGAAATCCGGAATCCGGAATCCAAGATCCACTGAGTAAAGATGGAGAATCCAGTAATTTGAATCCGGAATCCACGGCGCGGAATCCAAAATCGAAGACTGTCTTGGATTTCCTTACATGGGGAGAGAAAAAAGCACGAAACAAAAGGTAAATTTGTGTTTATTTGCGTTTGCAAGTAATTTTTTCAAACAAAATGTAGTATTTTTGCCTCATTTCACCACACACAATCGTAGGAAGGTCCATGGTCACCGTTGCCTTCAGAACACAGTCAAACGTCCAAGATGTTTCAACAGACTTTGGAAAGCTGTGCGTACCAAATGGAAATTGCTGGATACGACCCTGGCAAGAACGCTTATAATTACCTCAGATGGTTTTTCTTGTGAGTTAAAAATCAGTTAATACTAAATGCGTTTGTTCTGGCCTGTCTAGAAAGCGTTTCCACGCTCGAGTTCGTTGAGAAAGTTGGAGCGAGAAGGGAAAAGAGGAATAAATAGGAGGTTGGAGGGAAAAGGGAAAGCGCTTCCTCTTCTCCTTTGCCCTTCATGCTCTTTCATTTCTTTTATGACTTTACTATTTCCTTTTTTGCTCGCTTTCTCTCCAGCTGAAACTCTTGCTACGCAACATACAGGCTACATTTTTTTGGATACTACAGACCTGAAATTCTTTCTTCCTTTCTTCCTTTCTATTGCGCGCAAACTGAACAAAGAGAAATAAGCCATATATAAAAAAGAAAAAGAAGAGAAAGTCGAAAAGGAGGTCCTGTCTGGTGAAGACCAAAAAGAGCGGCAAAATGGTATCCCCGCGAAATTTTGCCCAGCGGATTAATTCACTTCAAATGTGCCCATGAGCTTGAGAAATGGCGGACGGACTTAAAATTTCCTTGCAATTTAGGTGAGATTTCCTCTAAGAATTTGATCACAAGAAACGTTGCAAAAGCCGAGAACTTTTCATGACAGTTTTCTCTCTGGTTTAGTGGTGGAGCCGAGCTTTTATTCAACAAAGTGAAGGAACACGAGGTGCTTTTACCGAAGGACGAGAATCCATGTGAGTAAGATTTGCCATTTCAATGGCAGATGATTTACACCGCGACTATATGTCCAGTAGCGGGATACGATTTTTAAAATACTCTATTCCCGGAAGACGAGTATAAGTATTAATTTCTACTTGCAGTTATCGCATAAGAAGTCAAAGAATAGTCAGATCAGGAAATTTGAATGGGGCAGTGTAAAATGCAGACTGTAGACTGACTGCGGACTATTGTTTTTAGGGTTAGAACACAATGGGACTATTGTTGTCACGTTCTAATTCGCATGGTGAAAACAATAGTGCGCAGTCTGCATTTTACACCAACCGGAATTTGAATTGTCAGACTGTTAGTGTAAAACGCAGCCTGCAGACTATTGTTTTCACCATGCGAATTAGAACGTGACAACAACGGTCCCATTGTGTTCTAACCCTAAAAACAATAGTCCGCAGTTAGTCCACAGTCTGCATTTTATACAGCCCGCCCCCATTGTCAGGTAGTGCATTCCATTTTGTATCCTCTCCTGCCCATCCCCCTCCCCCCACCCCATCTCCCCAAAGATGGCTGGCATCCAAACCCTCAATTTTTTGTTGACATCGTTTGAAAAATGAGCTTCCAAGTGTTTGGGTTTTGTTGGCACTTTTGAAAATATGTCCAAAGGGTTCTGTCAAGAGAATATTGAAAACCCCTTTTCAAAATCCTGCCATCCTCAGGGCTGGGGCAGGGTGTGGATAAAATGTCCAAGTTCTAGTGAGTGACTGTAAAAAATCTCAAACAAAGGTTCTTTTAGACTTTTGAAAAAGTCCTTTAAGGCTTCTTTGCATCCTATAAAGTGTGCTAATTTACAGCTTTTTTGCTGTTAAAATTGTGAGGTGCACTTGTGGTTTAGTCTGAACCCTAAATCCCCAATCTTAGTTCACTTTATCTACCTGTAGAAGTAAAATTAATATGAAGATGAGACAAATGCAGATCAGACCGGCAGTCATTTAGTGACATGAAAACCAGGATCTGCTACAGGGTCAGTTAGATTCTGCCTTTGTGCATTATTTTATTATGAGCATGCTATTATAAAGTTTCATGTTAAACCATGTTCTTTTCTTTATTGATTTTACAGGGAGTATTAGGAGATTGTTGATATGGATTAAAGATAATTTGCTGAAAGAAAGACCAGAATTGTTTCTTCAAGGAGAGTCAGTGTAAGAATTTAAAAAATTTCATACTTAAGTGAAAGGAACTTAATCTTCTTCAGAACTTGATCTTCTTATGTAGCTTTGGACCTCTTTTCCACCCCAGTGTATATGTAAATCTGGATGATGTCATATAAAAACCAGTAATGTACTCTTAAAGACACTTTAGTCAGTCCCAGTAGTTTTATTGTTGTGTCCACAGTGGGGCCAAACCACTCCCTAAATGTTTCATCAATTTTGCGTTGATAGTTGTGTTATTTTACAATCACTTTGTTGGCTTTTTAGCTTTTTTCCCAAAAGTTGGCCTGAAAATGCAAAATTTCAGGCCAGGCAAATTAGTTGCTAGCATGTCTTAAAGTATTCAGTTATGACGTCATGCTTGCTGATGTCATTCTTACATAAATTTTAAATTTTTGAATCTCCCAAATTTTTTGTTTTTTCCTGAAAGATCTGATAAAAGGGGGTTGAAAGCTGAAAAAAATTTTTCAATTATATCTCATATGTGAGCTGAGATATTGCAGTGTGATTTTGGATAAATTTGAAAAACAAAAACTGGACCCCCCCCCCCCCCTTTAGAAATAACTTAAGTTTAAGTGTTTTCTTGTTAAATTGCCCTTGCTATTTAAGTTGCATATGAGACATCTTGACTGTCGAAAGCTAAAAAAAGAAATTTCCAACCGTGCATAATCCTGGAAAACAAATTTGTGATGTCAGAAACTGTCATGTGATCATTTTTTTGTACTTCCTAAATTAGCATTATTAGGTCAAAAAATAAAAATCTAAAATCATCCGATTTTAGTCCACAGTGAAAAATACCTAAAAATATGCTTATTTTGTATAAAACTGTAAAAAAATTATCAGAGCAATCGATTTTTAAGAAAAACTATGGATCCAGGGGGCACACTAGAATATTTTTGAAGTCCCATAACTCGGCTCATACGTGTCGTATCGAAAAACAGTTTTCAGTATTGTGCCTCTCTTCTGATGCACTTTCAGTTGACATAAGTTTCACTCAAAAAGTTAAAAACCAATTTTTCCTATTTTGGTGACGTCAGCCAGTGTGATGTCACAGTTTGTACTTTTAACTAAAAAAATGCCAAAAAGGTTTTTGGCCATTAATCGTAGTTCATTGACCAAGTTTGGTTAACAAATATCATTTATCGTAAGAAAGACTTAAATTTAGCACTCATGCAACATTTGAGGGGTGGTTTGGCCCCACCATGATCTCCCATGGAGAGCCATCTTTCAATGTGTAGAAACAATAATCTGTAAACCATTACTTTATCCATTTTCTGTCATTACAATATTATTGTATATTTAAAAATTTACAGTGTGGATACATGTCACAGGCTAACCTCTCCTTATGGACACCTATATAATATGGACACCTCTCTATTACCGACAGTTCATTATTTTGATCCTAGAAATGCCAAAAATCATACATTCCTTACCTCTATAATACGGACACTTCTGTAAAGCAGACACTTGGTTCTGTCCCTTTGGTGTCCATATTAAAGAGGTTTGACTGTACTCCTTTAATGCACATCTTTTCTACGGAAATTCTCCTTAAACCTTGCTCTTATGGACTGTTGCTACTACAGGCACCAACTTGTGGTCCCAGTAGTGTGCTCTGCAACAACAGGAGTTGATATTATTTTGGTCATCCTGGCAGTCTCTCTACCTAGCACATGAAATGATCAGATGTTATTTCCATACATGTAGTAGACAATGACCACTGTAACTGGTCTAACTGGTTGTACAGGCTTTTTCACTTTTACATGATTTCTACTTCCAAGAAATGCAGTATACACCATGAGCAAACCCCAGAGAAGGGGGACACTTTTATTTGGCCTAGACAGGTATATAAAATGTATGTGCTGCTGAACAGGGTATGGTTTTTAGGCTCTTGAGTCTTGAACATGGTATACAATTTCACTATTATTTTTTTAGCATTTTGAACAGGGTGTGTTTTTGGACCAGTAGTCTTAAAAAGAGTGTGAAGGCTGCCATTGAGCGGTCTTCTTAACTGGTACCACAATGTTTTTTTTTTTCAAAAAAGTTAGTTTGAAAAAAATACTGTGTGCGAAACAAAGTGAATCAGGGTCATGAACATAGGACACTTGTCTTAGATAGGGTTTGAAAGCCTCAGTGGCAAACCTTTACTCAAACTTCCCTTGAGTGCTCTCCTGGGAGAACAAACTTTGAACATGTTGAAAAAGTCTCTGTAAATCACCCAGTTATTTGTTGTTTTAGGGTGTTAAAAGATGTCTGGCTGGTAACTTCGAAAGGTACTGTATTTCATAATTTTCATTCACATTTTTCTTTCTTTTTGTAGACGGCCTGGCATATTGGTGCTAATAAATGAGACTGATTGGGAACTGTTGGTATGGCCAGATAACTGTTATTTTTGCTGTTGTTTACTTTTTCGTGTTTTTTTTTTGTTATTAATATATACCAGCCCTTTTTTCTGTTGATTATAGGGAGAATTGGATTATGAGTTGCAAGAAAATGACAGCATTGTGTTTATATCCACTCTTCATGGAGGGTAGAATAATTGAGAATCCAAGAGAAAAAAGCAAGACAGACTGGAGACTGGAAAGACAGTTTCATGGGACCGGTCACAAAGAACAGCACTGCCGTCTTTCCTTGTAACTGCACCTCAGAAAGGTCTAGCTCCTGAAATAAGCGTAGGATGTTTGGAAAAAGCAAGTTACTTGCATTGACTCATGTGATACATGTCATCCATTTCTTCAATATGTATAAAAAAGAAAGATACATTTGTTCAAGTATTATTTTGATAAATCCAGTAATGACAGATTACTCAAAAATGAACTTTCTTAAGTAGGAAGAAACTATTAATTTTTATAAAATTTAGGTGCTAGTAGTGCAGCCAGTTAGTGTTATTGGCTCAAGATTTATATTGCGGGATTGAAACTCAAAAGTAAAAATATAAAAAACTATCCTATAGTTTCCTGTAAAGGAGAGAAGTGAGGTCAGCTGTCCTCTGTGGCAAATTGAACAAGTTTGGAATTAAAAGTATCATAATAAATAGAGGATATTACACGGTGGCACGAAGATATGAATTTTATTTTCATGTGGCAAAACAATATTTTACGAACGAGCGCAGCGGGTGAATGAAATATTGTTTTTGCCACGAGAAAATAAAATTCATATCTTCAAGCCACCGTGTAATGTTCTTTTTATTATATAGACAAGACATTGATAAAATAATAGAGTTTTATTCGCCAAAAAGTAATTGTGACGGCTTAAATTTACAGTACAGCAATATAAGACATTGTTTACAATAATCTTGAGAAATAACACTTAACTGAATAGGGCTCTACAATGACAAAATATAAGCAAAGCTTTGAAAAATGTGTAAATAAAATTCAAAGGATGCAAGACGCCTACAAATTTTGGAGGGAAATTACCGAAGTTACGTCATCGATAAACTCACGTGCGAGATAATTTTTGGAAAATAAACCACTCGGGTCCCGGATGTAGTTTTTATGAATTTTACGAGTGGTATATTTTCCAGTAACACACTTGTGTCTATATAATAAATAATAAATAAACAATGAGTGACTGACCTGCTTACTGTAGGTTGAAAAAAAATATGGCTGAGGAAAATGAATTATCATGTAACGAGTCTGTGAGTGAGGCTGTTGCCAAAGTTTGACTGTGGGCTGGATTCATGAGCCCTTCCTAAGCTAACAGTACAGTGAAATGGGCAACTTGTTTTGCAACATTACCACAGGTGTTGAACACGATGTTGTATGTTTTACTACCCAATTCAAACCTATCTAGCAACAAATAAGGTTGTCGCAATGAATATTGACAACTGATTGGACAAAATTATGTGGGAGTCATGCCATACATGGGACTTAGTCACTTACTGCAAAACAAGTTTGCCTTCACTGGTAAAATGTGCAACATGTACAGTTTTTGTTGCAAAAAGAAGCACTTCTCTCTACTTTCTGCAAAAACTTTTTGTAACCTTCCTAATGGTTGCAAGACAGACAGGTGTGATTCATGGGTGGTAAAACACACATCGCTTTTCAACCCGTTTTGCAGAAATGTTGCAAAACAATTTGTACATTTTTGTTGCCCGTTTTCAAGTACCTTAAGAGAACGATAGGCCATTTTTGAGAAAAAAAAAATACCTAGATGAAGTAGGGCTGTCACGGGGGAGCCGGGAATGTCCCGCAGCTACTACCGGCAATTTGATCCCTGGCTACTTTCATAGGAAACAATAGCAAACTAGAACAAAAAGTTAGAAAAGTTAGAGCTTTAAGGTGCTCCAAACTTGGGGGGGGTCCACCACCATTTGTTTTCCAATTTTTGTCTGTTTTGTCCCTAGCACTAGGATCTTCCCACCACTCAGCTATGAAGATCCAGTACATTGCTTTGCATGTAAACTGAAAACAGAAAACATATGGTGCTAGGATGATCTGCCTTCTAGGATCTTCCTCCCTCCATGTAAACATCCCTAAAATTAGGTTTATGAGAGGGGGGTGCGCAAACTTGCCCCCCATGACTTTGCAACACTGTAGTGTTAGTTTTCAACTTATTACAGTTTACCAATATTGAGGCACTCCTTCTAGCAGAATCCACATATTTGTGCTAACTGTTATATGTCTAAAATTCAAAAGAAACACTGGTCAATCGGCTCAATGCAAATAAAATCAAAACTTTCACAGTTGGTAACCCTGCTTCATTTATTATCTTCCAGGTGCTTATTACCTTCCCCCCATACTCATCCTATACCCCTCCATAATCCTAACACTATGGAGTTGACTGTACCAAAGGTCAACTTCAAAGAAAGTACAGTACAGAGTTTCGGGAATGACATGGTGTTGGGACTTTTCTTTGCTGAGATCTAAGTAGAGCAGTGGACACCTCTCCTTCCAAATAACCTTCACTTTGCTCATAAAACAAAGGGAAAATTGTACATGAAAACACCTCCACTTACAGAACCAAACGAAGAGGCAATGAACAAAAGCCCTTTGTTAGCAGGGCCAAGTGACAATTTGCAATGCCACGACTGGTTTTCCACCAAATGAGGTCTGAGAAACAAGCACTGAAATTCCACACTGATGATGCATCACTACCCAGATCAGGATAGTGCATGTGAGTGGTCAAAGCAAATTTGCCATGTGGCATGACCAATCAGATGCACTACCCAGATCTCTGTAGCCTGCGGTGGAGAGAAGAAATACGTCTGCGTCCAAAGGCTAAGATCTACGTAGTGACATGTCATCAGTATTGAATTTCTGCCCCTGTTTCCCAGACTTCATTTCGTGGAGAAAACCAGTGGCAACATCATAGAATGTCACCTGTTTTCTCGGGCTAGCATGGACTCTGCTAGAGGCATTTGCCTGATTGAATATTATTTAGGGAATGAAAGACTCTAACTACAAGGGTACAGGGCTCAAAATATGTTCTGCTAGGTCAACCGGAACAAGTTGGGCTAGTAAGTTTCTCAACCTCACTAACCCAATGGACAAGAGTTCAAGAAAGTCATCTGGTACATTTTGTAAATATATTAGGGAGCTTAAGCAAAGACGTTTTTGAGAAACGCACGCCAACTGGAAGTGGACCTCATTCATTAGCCTGCAGTGTAGGCGTATTTTGGGTGGGTGAAAGCTTGTTGTAGCCACCATCTTTGATTTTATGACAGAGGTATAATATTTGGCAAAATCATCTCTAAAAGAATAAACACACTGACTAATACAAATTTGGTAGCCTCACTTCCGGTTGATGTCATTTGTTCAAAAACGCCTTTGCTTAAGCTCCTTATTACTAACCAAGACAAGCAAACAATGGTCCCCTGAGGTGAGCAAAATGCAAGAGCAGCTTGTTTAAAGAACAACCTGGAATTCAAGTTTTTTTTTCAAGTACTGTAACTCACAAAAAAAAACAAGAAACACAGACAAGAATATCTACACAACATTTTTATTGACAGGCAGCTGATTTACTCCTTCACAGCATATTTCCTAAGTGAGAAGTGTGTTAGCTTCTTCTGCTGTTTCAGGGTCTTCAGAGAGGCTTCATGCTTGGTGAGGGCACGCCTCATAGCACGGGTCTTCTTGGGCCTGAGGTCAAGAGGTTTAAATTTCTTGGTTTTGTAGAACTTTCGCAGGTTCTCACGCTGAGAATGGCTGATGACAGTCAAAACACGAGCAATGGACTTTCGTACAAGTTTTCTGCAACAAAAGTAATTCTATCAGTAACAATGTACTGAAGTAAGGTATCTAAACAATAACTAGGGTATCTAAAAGAGGCATTAGTTAGGCAATGGGACTTAAAGGAATCGAAAATGACATTGAATGTCCTATTTACATGTTGGAAAGTACTCGTGGGAACGTTGTTTTAAAAATGATCAAGTGGTTATCAACTCTGGTTTTCCCACTGTAAATTGTAGGAAATGATAGAAATTCAGATTGTTTATCCATATTTTTAATATAGGGTGTACTATCTTTTCTCTTGAAACATGATACTTTTCTTGCTGTTGATGGGCTCCTGTTGCACTTTATTAAGTAACAGTTATTTAGCTATATATTTATAGAAAACAACAACACAAAAAACAGAAAAAAAAAAGAAAGAAGGAAAAAAAAGAGTTCGGAAGGACTCAAACCCAGCACCATCGGCTCGAAGTGACTACACCTCACCACTACACCACAGAGACTAGACACGTGATATTGGGAGAAGTCTTTAATTTAATTCCTTTTCCGTGAAACTTCCGCTGGCAAGATGATCGCCAGCCGCATTAATCGAGCTATTAGCAGCAAAAAAACAATGTAAACGCATATTCCATGGCAATGAATGAATGAACATAATTATGCTTTTCAAAACGCCGAAACACGTCCTCGTCTGCAACGTAGGACACAAAACATATGTTTTGTTATCTCGATTTCCGCTGTTATTTTGAAGCGAATGGTCAAAATCACATCCATTTTCGGCTCATACAGGTTCTTAAGAATAGCATGGCATGACATTTTCTCACTTTCACATCACCTTCCAGCAAGCTGGAATTTGTATATCCGCCATGTTGCGGAGTCGAAGAGCAAATACTCATCTTCTCATCAGGTTCAAGACCTGGATGAGTCAAAGGTTCTTGAATTGAAATCCAATACCCAAGTTAACCATTGTACTCATCTGAAAGACTCCTGCGTGTCTTAAATTTGGTAAGACCTCTAACCGTGCTGTAGAAAATTTGATACAAAGAAAACTCTGAGTCTGGGCAGCAAACGATGCGAACTTCTCCGTGTTTTTATTTGACTTGTTCGTGGCGCAATGCACTCTGGTTAAATGCAATGCATTGTGGTAAAAAGTGTGGTTAAATGCAATGCATTGTGGTAAAAAGTTATGAATTCGAGAATTCGTTCGCCCTTTATATATTTCCCTTAAATCCTGATTATGTTGCTGCTCGCTCCCTACGGTCGCTCCGCAGCAATTACGAGAGTGCCAGTGATGTTCAACTGCCAAACAAGTAATAAACAGGACTGGCACAAAGTTTGTCCTGTATGAAATTGAAATAATTTTTTCCCATTCATTGTGCAAGCTGATTTGGCAGTAAAAGTCAAGTTAGTGTACTCTTCAATAACAAGCAGCCACCACCGAGGAAAGAAGATCTGACAAAATACTGTCATCAGAAGTAATCAGAAATGAAACTGTTTGGATTTTGAAAAACTTAAAAAAATGCCAGGTGTATTACTTTTATAACCTTCTCACATGAAACACAGCTAAATGCTTCTTTTAGTTTAAGTAGTGGGGCAAATTATTCAAAAACCTCGTGAACTTCCAAAAAAACTGGAGGTAAAATAGTCACAAAAAAAAGTAACAAAAAAAGTATCATTTTTATCACGTCTCTACTCACAACAGTTTTGGAAAAAATACTTTTAGCCAAAACCAGGAGGAGCTGTGGCACCAAATACAAAGAAAAAGACAAAATTTGCCTTGCCAGTGTTTACTGGTGGGTAGAGAACTATTTTCCTACTGAATTTGCAACAATTTGTGAAAATGCACTAAACATACATTTGTATTCCTGAAAAACTTTTATTAATTTACAAAAATACATTATCATTTTTATTCATCTGATTTACTAAAACAATTATGCCTGTCAGGGTGCACAGCACACCCTGGTATTTATCCACCCTTATTCACCTCCCCATTGGAGAAGAGTTGTATAAAATATGACCTCTCATGCAAAACCCTTCCTCTCTCCAGTTCCTCCCATTTTATCTTTGTGTTGCGCTTTCTCAATTTCACAGATGCAGTGATCCATCTACCTGCGCATCCCGCATCTCAGACTCATAAATTTCCAAAAAGATGCAAATTTAGTCCGCATGCATCCCTTTGGATGCAAAAACTTATCATTTCTCTATTAAGATCATGGCTTGATGTCTTTTCCTCTCTATCTACAAAAAACTTTGCAATAGTTAGCCAAGTAAGTAGCATGTGATTGTTCAGCGAACTCCATCACAGGCCCACTGTTCATGGTCAGTGGTTACAGAAGTGTCTCTTCTTTGACTCGTCACATGTTTTCTATCTTGTCCTGTTGCTTGCACATGAGTTATTCAAATTGACTGCATTAAAATTTAATTTTTCTTTGGTGGACTCAGAAGGAAAAAGTTATGTGCCTGGAAGGGCAAACACAGCTCCCATTTGAGAATCAATGTCAAGAAAAAGAAGGACAAGAACCAGCAACTGCAATCAAAAAAGATGATGCGACAATAACAGCACAAGCTAAATCCAAGGAAAGAAAATTATTTGAGCCCTGGCTGAAAAAGTAAGTGGATGGTTTACAAAAAAAATGGCAATTGCATGTACTGCAAAGTCTGCACAGAGACAAGGAAATCTAACAGAATGAGCAAGGAAGCCCAGTGCCAAAATTTTCAAAACAACGTGTTCACTCTGCATGTTGATCTCCTTGAACACAAAACGGCTGTCCACGCAGGGCTGTCAACCCCTTAAGTCTTCAAATACAGAGAAATGGTAGATGACGTCATAATGCACTGCCCATGACGTCATTTCGCCAAAAGATGTTGTTGGAATTGTAACATTTGACCTGATTGGTTTACTTGCCACCAATCATGTTATTGCTTATATTTTAATGGCATACCGGAGTTTAAAAGAAAATGTTCAATGTTAATAAAATAGCTCAAACAATGCAAAATATTCGAAATTTCATCGTCAGAAAGTCGAGTCTACAAGAAATGGCAAACTTTGGTGATTATTAGGGAGATTTCAGACTCTAATCTGGAGACCGGGAGGTACGGTTCAAAATCTGGAGTCTCCCGCATTACCTGGGAGAGTTGACAGCAGCATCCACAGCCCTGAGATAAGAAAGTCATTCAAGGAAGCCCAAAGAAAAGGCGAAACAAAGCAGAATAAAGCCATACTGGTGCTTTTCAAGTGTGTACAGTGGCTGTGTATGGCAAGTATCCCGCTAGTAAAATTCAAATTGCTACTGGCACTTCTTCATGATTTGGGGCTTGACGACATAGCTCATCAGAGTAAAACTTGGTCCAGAAAGAGCCAAATTCAATTTTGATTGTGCACTGGAAAATGGCACAAAGGGAAGGACAGGCGGATCTATGAGCTCAAATGTAAGAAATAGATTTGAGATTGCTCCCTGTAGAAAGTTATTCATTAATATGTCAAAGACTGAAAGTAACTATATGGAAACAAACACCTCTTTTGATTTGTAAGTGTTCCTCATAGGTACAACTCATACACTGATGGGTGTAAGACCATGTGGGACTCAAACTCCTGAGTATGGGACTCACACTTATGTCTAAGGGACTCACAGGTTTTTGGCTGTGCGAGTCTCTGGACTCACTACTGCCTGTTTCTAGATGGATCACTGCAGATGCCACTATCTTGGAGCCTGGAACAGGCTAGGACAAATGATCATCTTGGCCACAGACATTAGGGCCATTTATACGAGGAAAAATAAGACGCGTCTTACATAAGACGCGAACTGTACCATTTATACGAGCATGTCTTATCTAATAAGATGCGTCTTAGCTAAACCGCGTCTTATTTTAGACGAAATGTGCCGTTTATACGGAAAGTTCGCGTCTTATGTAAGACGCATCTTATGTAAGACGCGTCTTATTTTTCCTCATATGAATGGGCCTATTGTCCATTGACTGGACATTATTTCAAGCCCTAAACAGGTAATGTTACTTTAGGTAACTAAAGACGATAGACAGAGTTATTAGCAGACGGCAGTTGTCCACAGTTACTCTTTCTGTCAGCAATGCACTGATTACTGATTACTGAAACCCCAGTAACAGCTTTACAATATTATTGGCACAATATTATAGCCACACAGCTGTGGCAGAGAGGTTGTCATTACAGGAGGTTTGAATGAGAGGCTTCAAGTGAGTGGAATAAAAGTATGGCTAGAGATGGACAAAGATCACATGAAAACTTAAGCAGTGTGATTTTAAAATGAACTTACATTTTAGAGAGTTTGGAAGCAGCTCCTCCTGTCACCTTAGCAACTTCCAATTGTGACAACTCAGTCTTGAGTTCATCAAGCTGCTTTAGAAGCTCTTCCTTTTTCTTCCCGCGAAGCTCGTGAGCTTTTACCTTCACCTGAAGTACAACAAAAGATCCTCAAGGTAAACAATTACTATTTTATCACCTTCACTTAAACCAGCCCAGACAATCTAACGACCTCCATGTTGCAAAAAAGTCCTTGTTAAATACTTCTCGACCGTATTTCTTTTTCTGTTTAAGCTTATTTTGTACGTTGAGGTATGAACAATTCTAGCAATCAAGAACAAAATTAAGGGAACACTGCCAAACAACGGAGGAGACAAGCTAATCATAAACATTCTACAAATCCTAGCTGACAGCTCGTACGTCGGTTTTAAAAGTAATCACTGGTTACCGTTTGCACCGTTCGATTAATTCTTCCAGACGATCTACTCAAGGGCTATTCAACGACAACTGCAAAACTAGTGATCTCACAAATTTAAAACTGGAGATTAAAGTCGTAAAGATAAGAATTATTTATCATTTTCGTAGGAAAACCTCGCATCAACTGTTTAACTCATCTGTGTACTATCGACCACTCAAAAATTTCCCGATGCTGAGAACAAACTCTCAGCAACAGCACAGCCACTAAAATGTTTTCTATGTCTACTCAGCAATGTGTACAACAGACGATCACGAGCTCTATTTTGTTGGTTGCCCTATTCGATTGTCGCAGAAGTTGCAAACGGAAATATTACGACAAAAACGAAGAATGATCATCGGTGGGTTGTCTTATAAGGATTACAATGATGAAACGAGCAATGCCAACACGATGAAAAGCGATGTTTATAGCTTATATTTTCTTTAAAACCCACCATTTTCGATGTCGCTTTGGAGAGGGAGACAGAGTGAGTCTCGCACAGCCTTGTGGGAAATAAACCGCATCGCCTACCTGGAGATCGCGGGCTCGAAACTACTAACGCGAAATTTAACAGACTACGAGTACCGTAAATCCTCTATTAAGCCCCCCTCTCAAATAAGCCCCCTCTCTAATAAGCCCCCTTTTCAGAGCAGGAAAGTTAATAAGTCCCCCTTTCTATTAAGCCCCCCCCCCTCCCCCTCCCCCTCCCCGAATCCTTATTCTTCACAAAACAATTAACGATTAACGTGGACTGATCAGTTATGGTTTATTCAGGCTGGAAGTTCATATTGTTTTTGGTCTTCAGCCGCATGACCTCCAACTTCATATGCTTAACTTTCTCAACTTTGCGCTCTAGTTCTCTGTGGAGAGTTGTCACCATTTTCTTATAGTATTATAGTATCATAAATTTCAAGGCTCTTGTATAAAACATTTAAATGTAAGAGCTAGATAAAAAATGTAAATATGGGAGGAGTTTTCCAGAGATTTTCGTTTGTAAGTTGTGTACGACAAATCAGTACAAATAACCATTCTCATAAAAATTACCGAAGAACATGAGACCGAAAGCACATTTTTGAAGTAAGAATTTTGTTTTTGTTACTTTTAGGCTCCCACAAGTGAATTAAATACTTTTGACAGTGACTGTAATTGTACAACGCGTAAGTCTATTCTGTCTCATACCACGGTATTTTTGCTACAGGTGATGCGTTTCGCTAAATTAAATAAGCCCCCCTCTCTTTTAAGCCCCCCTCTCTATTAAGCCCCCCCTCAAAAGTGCTTGAAAAAAATAAGCCCCTCGGGGGGCTTAATAGAAGATTTACGGTAGTCCCCATTTTTCCTCAGGGATAGTAGAGCAAGCGAAACGCGAGCGCGCGTGAATATCACCCCACGCGAGAAAAGGCGACAGTTTCCCCGCCGCGTGTCGCTCTGCTCTGCTCACTAAAATTTCCCCCGCATCTGGAGTAAGACACATTAGAAACGAATTAAATTGATGACGTAATCAGCAAATTTCATTAAATGAGTCGTAATTTGAAAATGGAACAGACGGACCTCAGAAATATGCTCCGCAGAAAGCGGAACTCACTCACAAGTGTCAGACGTCAACAGCACTAAAATATGTCGTTATCTTTTATTCGTTTTTCACCCCTTCTCTCTACAATGTCTCAGGACTGTAATAGGAGCTGACGTACAGGTAAATCTTTTAGTAAAAGCGCGCGCGGTAAGCCAATCTGATTCGAACCACAGTTTCTTAAAACGAAAATGATAATATCATTACATGCATTTGCTCCGTCTATTTCCCAAACTGGCCAAATTTGTCTTCTTTTTATAGTTGTAGATAAAGTAGGAAATGTTATTGTATAATTTGGAAGTTTTCATTCGACAATACTTGATTTTTAATCAATCATGCCCAATCATGATCATTCGATTTCAATCAACCAATCAATCTAAGTTTCATCCCGCTTCAAACTAGCCTGTTCTCTGAGTACCTATCCTTTTTCTCAAGAACAGTTATTCAGTGAAACAGTTTGCCTGCTTCTGTCTTTTGAGAAAACTGCTCTTTATATACTTTCAAAGCCCCTGTAATCTGCCTAAATCTTACCCTTATTAGCCTATTAATTTGAGAGGTAGGCTGTACACGGTAAATGTTACTGTAAATTTATTAGCGTGTCAAAAGAAATCTACTAGCATACCGCCAAATGATGAGTTAAACGGGTACACAAGCTAACTTCATTTCTAAACTCTTACCAAGCAGTAGAGAACAAAATTGCATCCCATTATGGTTCAAATGGCTCTTGACTACATATTTTCCGTCACCTATGTTCAACGATACTCACCTTTGAAAGTGATTAAACTATTCAAGGAATTGTTTTACTTTCACAGATATATTGACACGATGATTGAAAGCGATATTCTGTTTCCATGGCTGGATCCCAACCTCCACGCCATGATGGATCAGCTCAAAGACATGAAAAACAGCGAAGCGATGTGCAAAGTGCGAAAATTCAAGCAAATTATTCAGAGACACCCAGTTGCTTCGGTATTTCTTAGTACTTTCGTGATAACCGGTTTTCTTCCCTTCTTCTTGTTCCTTGCCTTTGTCGCGGGATCTTCAATATTCGTTCTGTTTTCGCTTCTCCTTTTTCAAGGCGGGGTTCTTGCACTGGGTTTGCTATCTCTGCTTGGAGTGTTTGTACCCATCGTCTTATTTGGAACTAAAATCGCAGCCATCGTGTACGTAATATACATCATCACTGCTACAGTCCTTCGCGTCGCTCACATTTTAACAAAAACTATAATATGGCTCCCGAATGTGATTGTGACCGTTTTGAGCCAGAAATTTCACGACATTTTTGCGCTTCTCGGGGAAGCAGTTAGAGTGGAACTAGAACGGCGTCGGTCCAGCGCTTTTTTATCATGACAGTCAGAATTTGATAATATTGATAACGAATGTATGAAAGGTGAGCAGCTAAGACGCAGACACTATCACACTGAACGAAGCGATAACCTGAGCGACTCTTTAGACCGCAAAGTGAAACTAGAAACTATTCGCGTGGATGGCAGACGAATGGCTTCAATACCAGGGTGATGTGTCAGCTGAGATCAATATAAAAAGTCATAGTTTTTCATGAGGTGTAGCCCAATTTTTTAACGTAATCCGGTGGATACCAGCTTCTAAATCACAAGAGTTACTAGGTGTGTACTCGACTGGACAAAGCACGAAATCCGTTATTACAAAACTGGATCACATTTTATGAGCTTTCCAGACCACAACAATTTCATTTTTATTTCAACAAAATGTGACAGCTGATGGTTCAAAAATATGCTTTTTAGAAAATGGTTTATAACTGAAAATTATCGAAACTTAAGTTTCAACATTATGGCTCTTGGTTTCAAGGGCTTGCTCTTCGTAATAGCAAAATTAACGTAAGCTTTCAGTTCAACATTTTTACCAACGGAAAGCTGACTTTATCCGCGCAACCCATAATCCGTTGATTAAACCAAGATATAATAAAACTAGTCCTTTTGTGTCTTCTGCGAGGTTAATTTTTGAAGTCTACTGAGCGAGGCAGCTCCCGTGCGAGGCCAATAATAGTTCATGTAACGCTAATAGACTGTAATAAGATATCTCCGCCTCATCCCCGATTCAGTTTTCCTGAGGGCAGAAGGGGGATGTATACACAGACTATAAGATTCGGTAAGAAGGAATTGACTACTTAGACCTCTTTGCCTAGCTAAGTCCCTTATTAATTGATGAACCAAAACTTAATAGGCAAGGATTCCAGACGATGCAAAAGTGTCTCTTAAAGTGAGTTATATCACTGAATTTTAGCTAGCGAATACAGGGTGAGCAGAAACGAGAAGAAAGCCTGCACACGAGATAGAGGAAGTGGTAAGCTCCACGGGATCTTCTGTTCACTGGCTAAGATTAAAATGACGCTCAGTATTAATTTTCCCTGAATGCCTTAATTGCCTATGACTTTTGCGAAAATAGGACTGATGAGTGATTTGTTTTAACATGAATCAGGAACCAAGAAAAGCAACTGTTCTGTGCTTCTTCTTCTTTAGCTTCAAACTTCGTATCTTTGGTGATACCCTAGAAGTGAATAGAGTACATTTATTCTTGTTTGTTCTCACTCTCTTTAAGTGTCTTATTGGAGAAACCGATTTCAACTTTAATTTTACTAAAAGTCAAGCTGTTCATTCATATAATACAAGACGCTCTAATGATATTCGCTTACCCCTACCCAGAACAAACTGGGGTAAACAAACTTTTATTTTTCACGCCGCGAAAGACTGGAACAGCCTTCCAAATGATTTAAAAGAGTGTAATATTTTATCTATTTTTAAATCCAAGTTAAAAACTTTTTTAAAAGATCTCAGCTAATTCTAAACCTTGATGTTTTTTTGTATAATCGATTTTAATATTTTAAATTTTTAAATTTGTTTTACTTGTAAACATATTTTACTTTTTTCGTAATTATTAATTAATTAGTTAGATTAATGCATGAGGGCCCCACTGAAAACCGCCTTGGCGAGTTGGGCTCCCTGTATAAATATTATTATTATTATTATTATTATTATCATTAGTTATGAAAACACAGAAAACCAGGACAAAAGAAGGTGATTAAGGTGATTCGCTGGTTTTGCAGTGCGCATCTCTTACCGCGCATAATAAGATGGCCGCCGTTCAAAAGAACATCCAAAGTAACATTAT